CATTGAATATTCCAAATAAATATCACTTATGCCAATTTACATACTCATACAAATTTGGTAGTTGTCTACAAAGAATCCATTTCATTGATATTCGCAAACTGATTGACTTAAAACTATTTCTAATATCTTCTAATTACAAGATCACATCCAGAACAGTGGATTCTGTCTCTTATTTCTGCTCTTGTTATTTGTCCCTTGTTTCTTTAATCAATTTAACTAGCTTTTTAATCAGTTATTTGATCTCTTCTAATGACCAACTGTTGGTGTTACTGATCGCTTCTATAATTAACTTCTTTCTGTTGGATTTCTTCCTTTATCATTTTTTTCTCTCTACTTGCTTTTGAGTTTTATCTATCTTTACTGTCGCTAGTAACAGATGGATCACTTTAACTTGCTTCTTTCCTCATAGGACACTTCAAAGCCACGAGAGTCCCTTTAATTTTTGTTTTAGCTGCATTGCCAATGCATCTTAAGTTCAAAGTATTTTCATATTAACATTGTGATTTCTGCTTTGATCTGTGGGTTGTGGAATAGTATATTTACTTTCAAGTTATTTTTAGTTTCTTCACATATATATGTATATACATATATGTATACATGTTAGAGATTTTACTTATTTTTATTTTATGTGCATGAGTGTATTGCCTGGTGCCCACAGAGGCCAGGAGAGGGTGTCAGATTCCCTAGAACTGGAGTTAAGGGCAGTTCGAGCTGCCAAGTCGCTCCTGGGAACTGAACCTGGGTCCTCTGGGAGAGCAACCAGTGCTCTTAATGCCTGGGCCATCTCCCCAGCTGCTAATTTTAGTGTTTTGTTATGAATTTCCAGTGTAAGTCTGATGGCAAAAGAGTACATACAGTGTGATATCAACTGAGAGCTATTTTATTGCCATTGACCTAGAAGAGCTATTCTGCAATTGCCAGTATCACTTAGATCCATTTGGTCATGTTTTCTGCACACTTACTGGCATTCTTCTTGTCTTATAGGGAAGAAAGCTAAAGAAATATAAAAAAAACAACTCATGGTTCCCCTCAACTGCCAGTTTTTACTTTGTGCATTGTGATGCTTTGTTGAAAATTTATCTATCCTTAATAAATTGTATATGTCATCTAAGATTTTATTTTTCAGTTTGTGTATATGTGTGTGGTGTGTGGTATGTGGTATTTGTGTATGATGTGTGTATGTGATACATGTGTGTGGTGTGTGTGTGGTATGCATGTGTGTGCAGGTGCACCTGACTGTGCATATGCATGTGGAATCCAGAGAATGATGTCAGGTGCCCCCTTCTATCGCTCTCCACCTTACACCTTTAAGACAGGGTCACTCGCTGAACAGGAAGCTCACCATTTGGCTGATCTGGCTGGCCAGTCAGTTCCCAGTGTTGGGGTACAGGCATGAGTAACCACACTTCGATCGTGGTGTGGGTACTGGGGATTCCATCTCATGCACTGTCACCACTGGGCTGTCTTCCCAGGCCCTCATATGTCTTCTAAACTTTCAATTAATTTTAAGCTAGACACCTAACATGCCTTCATATCAGAAGTGCTCTTTGAAGTCTATGCTACCTGATACTGATACAAACAAGACATCATTATATTATTGTGTGTTGTGTGCTATATTTTTCCATCCTTTTATGCTATGTATTCTTAAGACATATTCTTGTAAATTGAAAAGGCAGCACCCCTCATTTTCTCCAGTCTAGCAACTGCCCCTTCTTAAGCCATGTCCTCAGTCCCTTCAAGCCTAATAATGGACACATTGGATGTGCTTTCTACCTGTTAATATCTTCTTTATTCCATTTCTGTGTGGCTGCTCTGTCTGGCTACTGCTGAATTAGGTAGTATTGCCTTTTGTCTCTTTTATGTGCGTCTTAGCTACAGCTCTCTCTTTGTATTTTGTTAATTGCTCTAGCATTTGCAATATACATTTTTAATTTGATAAATTAAATAAAATTTGATTTCAAATTTTATTGTCATTCTATGCAATATAAGCTCCTTAAATAGTGTAGTTTACTCTTCCCTCATTTTTGCTATTATGGATTTATTTCTACATTTCATAGCTTTAATTTATTTCCACACACTTTAAACACCCAAATACATTGCAATCACTTGCTTTAAGCTGTTACTCTCTATAATGCAGTTACTGGGAAGGAATATCTGATGCCCTTACTATCATCCACCTTCTTTTACACAGACATTTCCATCTGGAACCAGTTTCTGTTAGTCTGAAGAAAATTCTTTACAGTTTTTTAAATCAACTCTGATGACAATAAATTTTTCAGATTTTGTCTGAAATTTTACTTATTTTGCCTTTGTATCTGAACTGTATTTTCACTAAAGAGTTCTAGATTTTGCTGTTTTGTTTTGTTTTATGGGTCTTTAAAAGTCATTTTTAAAGTTTCTTTTGCCTTGCATTACTTCTAATGATGATGAACATTTAATGAACTGGTGCATCTTTTCATGAGTAACACACCCTTTTCTCCCCACCACTCTAATCTCCGCTCTCCTGATAACTAAGTTCCCTGTGTGGCCTTTTCCTACTTTTTTGCAATGAGATTCTTGTAAGTCTTAGATTTGTGGATTTGAAGATTTTAAAATAAAATTTAGAATACTTTTGAGCACTGTGTCTTTAATTTATGTGTCCCCATTCCCCTTTCTGGGACTCCAGTCACAGAAATGTGACTCCACAAGGTGTTTCCCATGTATCCCTGACTCTGTCACATTGTTAGCCTCTCTCTGAATTTCAATTCTTTTCTATTAGTATATTTTCAAATTCATTGACTCCTTTTGCAGGGACTCCTATGCTTTCAAGCTCACGCAGTAAGTTTACTGTTTGTTGTATTGTATTTTCCTTTTGATTTGAATATTTTTCAGTTTCTATTACCCTCCAATATTACATAGTCTCCCATAAACTTGTGTGCATATTTAGCATACTTATAATAGCTTTTAATGTCTTGACCCTCTAATTCCATTGCCCCTGTGATTCCTGAACCTCATTTTATTGACTAATTATGAAAGGTCACATTTTATGGTGATTTTCATACCTAGCTAGTTTTTAATTGGAAGCTGAACATGATTAATACACTATGGGTAAAGGGTTGTTATTTTATTTTCATTATTACTGGGTATTAAGCTTCACTTTGCTGGAGAGTTCAGCCACATGTGTTGGAGCAGTTTTAAAGCTCTGGTGGAATCCACTCAGACTGCTTTAATCTTATTTGTGTGGTCTTTCTAGGACCTCTGTTAAAGCCCATACACACAAAAGCATCTCACCAACTAATTGTAACTTGACTTTTCCCCATATCCGCCTGAGCTGCAGGAGATTCTAAATTTGAAGATTTCTAGTAGTTGCTCATTTCCCACTTTGAGGAGTCACATCCTGCTTGTTTGAATCTGAATAGCAGCCATAAACTCAAAGGTCTTCTGTGGATGTTTTGGGGGCTTTTTCTTATAATTCACTTTTCTTCAGCTCTCCATAAAACAATGCCGGCTGCCTTGGCCAGTGTAAACTCATTCACTGTGCCTTCATCTTCCCAGCCTGGACTCTGCTTAGGGTCAGCTTCCCCTTGAAGAAAGAAAGGCAAGCAGCTTTAGTGATGAAATAGTCTTTGTTCTCCATGCCTTAGGGAACCACAGTTCTCTGCGGTCAGTCATTTGGTGTTTGAGAGATGTCTGTCTGTACAGTGTCTAGTCTAGTGTTTGTTTCTGGTGGGGGAGCAGAGGAAACAGATTGCCAGAAACAGATTTCTGAAAACATATTTTTTAAGCTAATGAAGTAAAAGAAAAAATCAAGAAACATACCCAAACTCTTGGTTCTGCATGTAAAGTTGCTATTAAGCTCATAAATTGTATGGACTTGCCTGTGTCTGTGTATGGTATTTTATAGGGAATGGCAAAAACAGGAATTGAGTCTGTATATTATTTTCTAACAACCCCAAGAGAGTTTGAAGGCATTTTTATTAGAGCTGGAGGTGACTGTGTGCAATTTTATAGTTGTGACCTGAAGTACAGGAGGGAAATGGGATTATATTGGTCACTGTACAACTTTAATAAAAAATGTTTCTCAAAATATTTCACATGCTTTTGTTGCAGTCTCCCTGCAGGTCCAGCCTAGGGGAGACTCGGGGTCCCGGCTTGGAGGGGGTGAGCGGCATGGAGTCAACACACAGACACTGGGAGTTGGGTAGAAGCAGGCACTAGGCGAGGTGCTGCAGACCCGTTTATTGCAGATATGGGACTGCCTTATATACCCCTCTCCCAATGTCTCATTGGCCCCAGTAGGCCTTCTCGGGTCGTGTCTGATCCTCATTGGCTCTCTGTGTTGAGCTATCTTGTGTCAGCCATCTCTATGTCCTTTGGCAGAATACAGGTTCCACTCAACTGGATGTTTTTGGCACATTTGCAGTGCATGCACTGGTTGTTCAGGCTGCACTTCTTCCTACATGCTTTGGAGAAATATAAGCAAATGTATATCTTTTAAATAAAACCATTAGATTTTTAATTAAAGAAATTAACATTGTCTAAAGTTCATCCATCTGTAGATGGTAATAGCTCTTTGCTCTATTGAGACTTTTCTATCAACATGTTTCTCCTTCATTAAAGTAAAAACTAATGATTATTTAATGATTTCATAAATATAAGGATATGCATGGTTGTTTAATTTTCATGGAACCATTATTTTAGTCTATGATAAAATATTATTTTGTAGAGAAGGTGGATGCATCAAATTTCAGCATTTAATGCACTTGTTTCTTATATTGATGGATGTACAAGCACCAGAATATCTTTTTGTGGAACAGAAATACAGAGGCAGGTAATTAACATAAAATAAATATAAGCATAGAAACAAATGAAAGTCTTTAACTTCAGTAGTAAATGAGATCTCTTTTAAAACTCCACTTAGATTTTTACCGTGTGTTGACACAGTGAAATGCTTTTAACAAAATAACAGGAAGTAGATTTTGATCCGTGGTGATGTTCATCATGTTTTTCACCTCTTACAGCTCTCCGGGATGCTAGCAAGCAGTCTATAAATAGTGACTGGAAGATCGAACATTCTGGAGCATTCAGTTTAGCTGGAACAACAGTCCATTACATCAGACGAGGCCTGTGGGAGAAGATCTCTGCCAAAGGTCCCACTACCACAGCTTTGCACCTCCTGGTACGCAGAAGGAGTTTGAGAACGTTCTATCAGCTTCTCACGGCAAAGGCAGTCCTGCTTTCTTCCCTCTAAGCATGTCTTTAAATTAGAATTGTCAGGCAAGCATTTAAAATCATTTACATAATGAGTTTTTAAGAGATTTAAAAAAACGTTTTAAATTACACCATCTAAAAAATAGGAATTATTAAAAGTGGAGCAACATGTTGTAAAGGCTTAGCAAACTCAGAGTAGAAATGTACTACCAAAAACAAGAAACCATTTTTTCCCTAAAATCATTCTTCTGTAACCAGAATGGAGTTCTATAGAAGTAGTACTATTAGTATGGCAAAATGTGACATTTCATAATCCATTAAATGGGACTCATTTGCATCTGTATAATATGCTTTGACAAAGTATTATTTTGAGTCCTCTCCTGGCTTGAAGGTGACCTGTGAAAATGGCTCCCTACTCTCTTAACCCTGAAAACCATGCAAAATCATGCAAATCAAGAGGTTCCAATCTTCGTGTTCACTTTAAGAACATACGTGAAACTGCCCAGGCCATCAAGGTCATGCATATCCTAAAAACCACCAAGTATCTGAAAGATGTCACTCTAAAGACACAATGTGTTCCATTCTGGCAGTATAGTGGTGGAGTTGGTAGATGTGCCCAGGCCAAACAGTGGGGCTGGACACAGGGTCAGTGGCCCAAAAGGTACTGAATTTTTGCTGCACATGCTTAGACTTGCAGAGAGTAATGCTGAACTCAAGGGGTTAGATGTAGACTCTCTGGTCATTGAGCATGTCCAGGTGAACAAATCATCCAAGATGCACTCGCAGGACTTACAGAGCTCATGGTCGGATTAGCCCATCCATGAGCTCCCCTGCCACATAGAAATGATCTTCATTGAAAAGCAACAAATTGTTCCTAAGACTGAGGGTGCACAAAAGAAAAAGATATCTAGAAGAAACTGAAGAAACAAAAGCTTACGGCATGGGAATAAGTTGAGCATAAAATAAAAGCAAATAAAAGTAAAAAAAGAAAAGAAAAATGTATCATTTTGAGAAAAGGGTAAGCATACATTAAGAGTACTCACAAGCACCTTGTTAGATTGTCTCACTAGGTTAATGGGCTCCTGTAAAGAACTGTGAAAATTTAAATGTTTGGGATCATCACTTCCTTTAGCATGTAGTAAAAGATTAGGTGTGACAAGAAAGAATCCAGAGGAAAATGAGGAGAACACTGGGATTCTGTCTAGGTTGGTGGCAGGTCCTGAGGCCTTAATCATGGTAAAGTGCTGATGGTAAAGAAATCACAGGACTGACTGCACAGTTAGAGTGAGTTTTCATTCTAGTGGCAACAAGAAATCTAAAATTCACACACCTCAACACCCCCTGATGTCTGCCCACAAAACTACCCTAAAACACAGTGATTAACTAGCTTGTTTGTAGTGTGATATCATTATTTGATCTCTCCAGTTTAGACTTTGTCTGAGAATGTGTTGCTGCTCTAGAATACAGAGGCTCAAATCACATAATGGCTCTTTTTCTTCTCACTTTGCCCTTTACTTGCTGCTCTTTTCAAATCTGCATTCTGATTCATTCAGTTTGGGGCACGACCCAAGATCACATTTTCTAACTAACCTCTACCTAATATCACTCTTGCTTGTCCACAAACCATAATTTGAAATCCAAGACTGTATGTAACTGCAATCCAATTGCTTAACAACAGAAATAAAGGGACAAAGTGAGTAGTGTGTGTACTTTCCGTTCAGTCTTAGCAATATCCACCACCCACTAAACACAAAGAAATCAGATACTGACTTCTGTGATTGAACCAGAGGTGCTTTTATTACAGCAATCAATCCTGAAAGTAGCCTTTTATGTGAAAAAAAACTAAGCAGTATGCAGTGTTGTCCAATATGATTTCCTTTGTAATACATAATTACTGTTAAATATCTTCTGTATAATGTCTCCTGTATAAATAAATCTTACATTTTTATAACTTTTTTACTCTTATCTATCATCTATCTATCTACCTATCTATCTATCTCTATCTCTCTAGTCTTTGAATAAATATTTATGCATCTCTTCATAGTTCCTTTGGATCTTATTATATAATTTCAATTGGAAAGTCTACTCTCTGTCCTATGCCATATAGAAAAAGAAAAACAAAGCTATACTATAGGAACAATGCTTAGCATCTTCTGTGATTGAATCATGTAAAATAATATCAATGGAAATTTATGTAAGACCTCATTGTTAGTCAGAGGGACTTTTTTTGCAGCAGAATTCTTAATACGGTAATTACCAAGGTTTTTCTTGGAAGTATGAAAAATAATTAAATCACTGAATTAGGTCGAAAAGGAGATGTCTATAAGACCTGGATTTAGTTAGTATTTCAAGAGCAACTGTACTTCTAAGATATTTTTCTTTAATAACTATTACAGATTGAAAGCTGGTACTGACTTTTAAAGGCAGAACTTTCTCCTGCCAGATGTCAGCATGTACCCTTTAACAGTAACATACTCACAATTTCCTTTTTATAAAGAATTCTGCCAAATTCAAATGACTTAAGAAATAGCTAACGTTTTGGGGGCTAATGTCTCTATCTTAAGTGGCATTAGTTGGTTAAAAACAATCTGAAGTTCTATCAATGAAAATGTAGCTCATTAGGGAAAAATTGGATTGTTTAAATAACTTGACAAATAGATGTTATTTATGTGTTCATTTAATCAGTTTAAAAATTCCATGCTAGTCTGCTTTTAACAAGAAACAAAAACTCAAGTTTTCCCACACTCTTTATAAATTTATTAAACTGAAAGTAATTTATAATTGGCACATCAAATATAACATGTAAGCCAAAACCAGCACTGTGATGTACTTTGCCTTAGTACCTACTAGGTTTTATGTTTGTAGACTTTAAAACCATTCGTTCTATTATCAATATAGTTTTCATAAAGTCAGCAGACTAACTCCACAATCCACAGGTCAGAATATATCATAGTGTTTCAGTTAGTATGTTAACAATTCATGACAGAAAGTAAACAAAATGCAGTTCAGAGCCTTAATTTGGGGCTCATTTAAAAGTGTCCCCAAGGAGTATGACTTGGAACTGCCTATCATTGTAACTACTCTAGACAAAGAAAGTCCCTCTGCCTAACAATGAGATTTTACATTAACCTTTAAGATTTTTTTTTTTTTGAGACAGGGTCTCTCTGTAGCCCCAGCTGTCCTGGAACTCACTTTGTAGACCAGGCTGGCTTCGAACTCACAGAGATCCCCCTGCCTCTGTCTCCTGAGTGCTGGGATTAAAGGCGTGCACCACCATGCCCAGCCAACCTTTAAGATTTTAAATAGACTCAGAACAAATCTCAGTCTTGTTTTTAAAAAAGTTGATTACAACTTGTATATGTTTATATGAAGCTTATTCAATCAATAAAAATATGTTTGCGGGGCTGGAGAGATGGCTCAGGAGTTAAGAGCACTGACTGCTCTTGCAGAGGGCACAGGTTCGATTTCCAGCGCCCACAGGGTGGCTACAGACTGTCCTTAACTCCAGTTCCAGGGGAATCTGAAGCCCTCTTCTGATCTCCGCGGCACTGCACGACACGGGTGCCCTCACATCCATGCAGACAGTACACTCATATGCATAAAATAAAATTAATAAAATATTTTTAAATGTTTGCTATTAATATTCTTTTACATGATTCGATCATAGAAGATGCTAATGGTTAAATATTTAGTAAATCACCCCAAATAGCATAATTTTTAAATATTGACATGGATGCTTTATGTACCGTTTACACAGATCCTTGTATTCTTAAAGGTGATATATTTCATGTGGCTGTTTGGCATGCTTTATGTAAATTTATAAAGAAGCATACATGTTTATGTAGTCTTTGTTTTAAACACATGCACACACATACATGTATAACATATGTTATACTATATATTATAAAAAAAAAAATATATATAGTATAATATCCACAAAGAGCCTGTTCTGAGCTTGACATTGGATACCAGTGAAAATCAAACTGGTGGATCAGCACAGTGTAGACTTAGATTCTGCTCATTCCTGTAGACCTGTTATGGTTTTCTGAACTGTTTATATATCTGTATGACTATGCTGATACCAATCTAATACTTATTTAAAATGCATTTATTTTCAAAGGAAACACAAAAATTAGTATACATTGCTAAAATTCTAAACTAATTGCAAATGTCCATAGAATGAAATTATTATCTGTGTGGTGCTGTGAAAGTTCTCTGCTGATCCCCATAGACTTCTACCTTCACCCTGTATTAAATCAGGGACTTTCCTTCCAACTTTTCTTTTTATTGGAGTAGAAAGTTGCAGGGTGTGGTGGCACACACTTTTACTTCCAACATTTGGGAGGCAGAGGCAGGCAGTTCTCTTAGTTCAAGGCCAGTTTGGTCCACATAGAAAAAAGAGTGGAAGCTCCATAAATCTTATATCTTGGCATTAGCTAGAATTCATCCTTGTTACCTCCTCCCTCACATATACCCAAACATAGTCTTGTACATGTACCTCTGAGAAAGCATCTACCAAATTGGAAAAGAATAATAATAATTTGGTATCTCTGACCTCATTCAAGTGAGCTTTCTTTGTCCTGAGTTAACTCATGGGTGACTCTCCTGTCTTTTCAAACATTTAAGAGTAACTTCACATGACTTCTTTGAATTAAAGATGCATGCTGATTGTACAATAGTTTATTTTTTAAGTATCCATATCTTTAGTGTGGTTTTGCTCATCAAATGTGCTCTGGTTTGAATCATATCCTTAATCATTTTCATTCACCATAGGTACTCCTATTTCAAGATCAGAATTATGGTCTTCACTATGAATACACTGTTCCATCAGACCCTCTTCCGGACAACCAGAGCTCTAAGGAATCAGAGCCTCTCTTTATGTGGACACACACGGGCTGGGAAGACTGCAATGCCACATGTGGAGGAGGTGAAGAATTTAAAAATATTTATATTTTCAAAACATCATGTTTTTTCTTATTAACTGCTGATAATTAAGATAGATCTAAAATTGATAACTTACAATTCAGGAATCTATAAACGTTTGTAAACTAAGTTCCTTACACTGTGTTTACAGGCTAATATCTGAATTATTATATGTCAAAAATCTTACATAGAATGGAAAAAACACACTCAGCATTATTATGCCTTATTCATATGATTTTTCAAAGTGTATATTAAGTAAATGTGATTGCTTATAGTGTGCCCAACTCCCCAAATGCCGTTCAGGTTGTTAGTTCCATTTTATCACTTCTAAAATATTACCTATGGGGCTGGAGAGATAGCTCAGTGGTTAAGAGCACCGACTCTTGCAAAGAAACCAGGTTCAATTCCCAGCACCCACATGGTAGCTTATAACAGTCCCTAACTCCAATTCCAGGGGCATCTGATGCCCTTTCCTGAACCTCACCAACATTGCACCACTGAAGTACACTTACATGCATGTAGGCAGTACACTCATATACGTAAAATTAGAGTAATAAATAAAATATTTTTAGGGTTAAGGACACTGGCTGTTCTTGCAGAAGACCTGGGTTTGAATCCTAGTAACCACATGGCAGCTAACAACTGTCTGTAACTCCAGTTCCAGGGGATCCGACAGCCACTTCTGTCCTCCGCAAGCATTGCAAGACATGAATGCACTTACATACATGCAGGCATTACACTCATACACATAAAATAAAAATAATAAATACAATATTTTTCAATTAAAATATAAATAAAAAATATTTTTAATTACCTTGAAAGTTCTCAATCCCAAGGACTTCACTGTTTGAAGGAGTGTTTTATTAACTTTTAAATGAACACTTTTCATTAATTAATATGAATAAGTGGTTTTGTTTAGAGATTGACCTCATATTTTTCATGTCTTATACATTGTTTTCCACTCTGTGCATGAACTAGACAAATATGAAGATAAGAAGTGGTATGTACTTCAATTTATGAGTCTTAGCAAATATGTTGGGAGAAATACAACGTCGTGCTGTTTCTCTACTCCTGCTTCCTGCACACACAGCAATCTCAGGCTGAATAGAATTAAAAGTTACCTGAGAGAAGAGAGGAACTCCATGACTAGAGAGGAAGTGCCTCTGCCTACCTAGTCCTCTCTCTTCAGATGAATTTATATATCAGATAAATTTTAATTTTAAAACTTGAACTCTTGATCAATAGCAGCTATTTTCTGACTGAAAAAGAATCCTCAGATCTTATATTCTTCAAGAAGTGTTTGACAGAGCTCTGCTGCCCTGGCTTCTGTGTTGCCTGCTTACTAAAGCTAAGTATATGAGCGTGTGAGGTAAACAATTATTTTCCTCATTCCTTTAGCTTACTAATTTTAAAGTGTGTCACCATTATCCATAAATACAGAAGCACCCCCAAATTGTGCACAGTGTTTGTTTTCATTCGATGTTCAGGAGGCAAATTAACAAAATATACTTCAGCATAAAATTTGAAACTAGGAACTCACTTGATTTTACCCTTTGTTCTCCCTATGAGGCAGACACTTTGTTCACAGCTTGGTGGATTGTTACACAGCCAGTAGTTAGAAAGGCCAAGGTGAGAGCCTGTGCCATTAGATGGCCACGTGTATCGTATTTTGGTTCTCATTTCCATTAAGATACCTTCTAAGGCTAAAAAGAAACGTCCGGTATATAGAATTATAATTATGTTATATAGTGCATGTCATATGGAGTGGCTGGTGTAAAGAATTGAATCATTTTGTTTTCTGGGCAATGAAACTATTGAAATACCCATAGCTTCATGTTCCTACAGAAGTGAGGGAAGCACAGAAAGAAATTGGCATGCCTTCCAGGAGGGTCAGTAGGATAAAAGAGACAGAAAATAGATCATAAATAAGTAACATTGCCTCAAAGTAGGTTAAGTACTCTGAGAAAAATGACAAGTAATGATAAATAAGACAGAGAGCAGGTGCACTGAAAACACGATTTTCAGAAAACTTCACAATGAATAATAATAATTCGGTATCTCTGGCCTCATTCTCAGGAAAAATCTAAAGTTGCTGTGGGTGAGCTCCTGCTGTGATCATGGAGCAGAGGGTTCTAGGTAAAGGCACCAAAGGAAGAGTAGAGCTTGCACATGCAGAAACTGGCAGGCAGCACCTCAGGCTTCCTGTGCCCTGGATGATATGAGATTTAAAGGTTAGATGCAGTGACTACTTCTGGCTGCAAGTTCAAAAGTGCATTTCTGTTTCTTGGCTGAAAGTGAACTAGATAGAGCAAACAGGTGCAAGCAGGGACATCAATCCAGAGAAAGCTGCAATGCTCTAGGAATGGGCATTGTTAGGCCACTGCAGGGGCAATGGAGGAGGATGAACGATCATGTAACCATCTAGATGTGGGGCTGTGAGAGTCAAGAGCATGATGGGGATGCTTTTTCCAACTGCCACGATGAAGTTCCCATTAATTTATATACAACAGTCTGAAATAGTGGTATTAGGAGGGATTTGGGGCCTCAACGAAGATTTGAGATACCTGTTGGCTATCTAAGTGTGATATCAAGTGTTTCTGGTGATATCAAGATACTGGTGTTATGCTAGAGATAGACATATGGATAAGATATTAAGAGGATGAAATTAGATAGAATCACCCAAAGAATGAGATGATACACAGAAAGCTGTTAGAACATTGGGATTTGGGGTGCCCTCCCAATGGGAATTGGGAGAAATGAGAAGAAAAAGCAGATTAAAATAAGCAGCCGACAGCATGGGAAACAAGCTTGCCAGGCAGGCTGCTCTCGGTGAGGCAAGTGAAGAAAGTGTTACAGCAAAGACAATCAACTACCGAGAGCTGCTAAGGAAAATAACGCCGCCTAAGAACTGGCTATTAAGCTAAATACATTTTGTTTTGTATTTAATTTTTTTATTATATGCAGAAGGAAGTCAGTGCCGACCCTAAAAAATTAACTTTAATGACATATTTGGCTCAAAAGACAAACAAAAAAAGTAGAAAAGTAGAACAATTCAGTAGAAGATAGCAGAATTGGGCCCATCAACACCCTACGGGGAAAGGGCGCAGTGTTCCAGAGGCCCCACCCCTGCCTTGGAGTCCATAGGTAGATAATGGTTGCTGGGGGAGGAAGAGACATTTTCTTTAAGGGTGTAAGCTCTAGTAAGATGCTCCTGCTTCTTTAAATAGTTCCGTATATACTCCTGTGAGCAACCCTAATAAAGCTTACTGAGTCACACACAAAAGTGATGAAAGTCAAAGTGGGACTCGTTAGGAAAGAGAAAGGGAATCAACCCAAGCAAGGGGCGGAGGGAGGTGCGGGACAAGAGAGGGAAACGGCAATGACTATGATCAAAATACATCCTGTATAAAAATGCAAAAATCAAAATACAAAAAAGGGGTAATGGTAAAGACAGGAACTCTAACTCAGTAAATGCTGACAGAAGAAAGCAGAGAAACGTGGCAGTAACTGGAGACAATAGAACTCAAGAAACTTTGCTATCCATCACTGTTTGTCGATGCCATTCTCTAGAGAACACCGAATTAGGAGGCAGCCTGCAGAACTGATGGGACATTATCCAGATGGAGAGGAGGGGATGAAATGAGTAAGATGACCTTATAAAAACATGGAGTCAGCGGACTGGAGAGATGGCTCAGTGGTTAAGAGCACTGACTGTTCTTGCAGAGGACCCTGGTTTGATTCCCAGCACCCACAAGGTGGCTAACAACCTAACTCCAGTTCCAGGGGAATTTGACACTCTCTTCTGACCTCCACAGGTATTGCATGACATGGGTGTACATACATGCATACCGACAACATACTCATACACATTAAAAAACAAAACGAAACAAAAAGACACATGGACAGTCTATGGCTAGCCATTAGAGAAAAGACAGATGGGGGCTTGCCGTGGTAGTTTTCCAGGTGCATCAGTTCTTTCCACCAAGGCCATCTTGGTGTGGGTGAGAATGTGGAAAGGGACCTAGAGGGACCTCATAGAGAACTCTGAAGTTGTCTCTTAGAGAAAGACAGGATGGATGGGATTGTTGCCAGTCAGCTGGGTGGGTAGCTGTTGGTCAGGGTAGAAATCACAGGCAGGCAAGGAGAAGCTCTTCAATGACCAAGCTCTGGCTTATTTGTAGCCACTGGCATCTGACAGCCGTTGATGGCAGCAAAAGGGAGGAGCAGCCTCTAGAACTCCAGCTCTCCTGCAGGCCATGGCTGGTGGGACCTGTCATGCCTCAAGTGTAGCAGCTCTTGTATAGGCCTGGGAAGTCCCAATTCCTCCATCATGGGCAATGGCTAGTGCTAGAGCATTTGGGTCTGTGTATGAGACATCTAAGGACTTAACAGGTCTCTGGAGCTATGCTAGTGGCCAGGACTTGCAGATTCTTTTCTGGGGTCCCTTAAAGCCTCCTCTCCTTCAGCCTCATTTTCCAACCTCTCCACTTCTGCCTCCCTCTCATTCCCACACTGGCGTCTCTCTCACCCTGTCCACCTGCCTCTTGTTATGACTGTCATAGTTGCCACCTTGCAGGAGCCAATTTTTCTGGCTCCTCCCCAGAGGCTGCTGTTGCTGCTGCTATTGGCTTTGGTCCTTGAAACTGCCTCTGTTGTACCTGTAGATGCATCTGACCCATCTATGGCTTTTGCAACTTGGTCTGTTGGCTGTGTAGCTGTCTCTGATGCATCTTTCCTAACCTGCTCTACTAAAAGTAGGCAAGCACAGACCGCTCAAGAGAAATCTTCTTTTAGGCCTAACATGGCAGCACAGGGGAGGCCACACAGGAAGGTGCCTCTCAGCCACTCACCAGGGGGTCTGAACAACCCCGTATGCAAAGAATAGCTGTTTTCACCAGTCACAACAGACTTCTCATGAAATGATGGTGTGTGTTTATACCAATCACGTCGCACCTGCGTATTTTATACCAAGTATTGCCCCTCCTGTATCTGGACCATAGTCCT